CCCAAATCCGCCCTGGCAGATCCCAAATCCCCCCTGGATCCCCCTTTTCTCCAGGATCATCTCCCTCAGGATCCTCCGTTCCCGTTCCCAGCCCCGTTTCCAGCCCTGGCCCCGCTCCAGCCCCCGGCCCGGCCCCGGTTCCATCCCAACATCCTCATTCCTGTGCCTTCGCTTCCCCTCCCTCCCTCCCCACCCCTCTCACCAAACCCGTTCCGAGCCCCGGGCGTGGCTCCGGCACCGCCTGAACCCCAACCCAGGGTAAAAATAACCAGAATCACCAAATTAACCAAAATAACCTTTCCTGCCCAATTCCTACCCAATTCCTGCCCAATTCCTGCCCAGTTCCTGCCCCATTCCTGCCCCATTTCTGCCCCATTCCTGCCCAATTCCTGCCCAATTCCTGCCCCATTCCTACCCAATTCCTGCCCAATTCCTGCCCCATTCCTGCCCAGTTCCTGCCCCATTCCTGCCCCATTCCTGCCCCATTCCTGCCCAATTCCTTACCCATTCCTACCCAATTCCTGCCCAATTCCTGCCCCATTCCTGCCCCATTCCTACCCAATTCCTGCCCAATTCTTGCCCAATTTCTGCCCAATTCCTGCTGGGGATGGCTATGGGAGGGGCCAGGAATTCATTCCGGAGAAAATGCTCATTAATGAAAAAATTTTCATAATTAAAAGCAAATAAAGATGGAGGGATTGGGTGAGGGGCATTTCAGGGGTGTCTCTCCTGAAATTCCCAGGCCGGAATCCTGATCCTATAAAAGATGGATTTGGATGGGATATTTGGAATTCCCAACCTTCCCTGGGCTGCTTTGGGTGGGATATTTGGAATTTCCAACCCTCCCCTGGCGTGTCCACAGCTGAGACCCCCCTCAGGACTCATCTCAAAATCCCACAAATCCGGGATCCCCTGATCTGGGGAATTCCGATGGAATTTTGGAATTCCAGATCCCCAAAATCCCACAAGTCCTGGCCCGACCCGGGGAATTCCGAGGGGATTCTGGAATTCCGGATCTCCGTGGATTTGCTGGGGGTGGTTTCTGGTTTGGGGTTTCTGATTCAGGGCTGAGGCCGCTGTGGGATTCGGGGCCGTCTCGGGGGTGACGTCGGAGGTGGCGCCCGGGGCTCCGTGTCCTGCGTGTCACCGACCTCAGACGAGGCGTGGGGACCTCGGCCGGGCCCCGATGGCTCTGATTGGGGACGGGCAGGTGACAGACGGGGACAAACAGGATGAGTGGGGTGAGAAGTCCTGGTGCTCCAGCCCCGCTGACCTCACCCCACTGCCCGCCCGCAGCCCGGCTGGAAAAGTGTCCCAGGATCCAGGTGGGACAAATTCCACTGTCCCAGGTGGCTCCAGCCTGGCCTTGGGCACTTCCAGGGATGAGGAATCCATAAAATCCCATCCAAACCAGCCCAAGGAATCCTGGAATGGTTTGGGATGGAAAGGAACCTAAAATCCCAAAAACTCCCAACTCAGTTCCATGGGGACCCTCTCCTATTCCAGGTGGGTCCAGCCTGGCCCTGGACACTTCCAGGGATGGGGAATCCATGGGATCACCTGGGCCAGGGAAGGATTTATCCCTAAAATCCAATCTAAACCGGTCCAGGGAATTCTGGAATGGTTTGGGATGGAAAGGAGCCTAAAATCCCACCCCAGTTCCATGGGGAGTGACCATCCCCTACCCCAGGTGGTTCCAGGGATGGGGAATCCATGGAATAATCAGGAATAACCTGGGGCAGGGAAGGATTGATCCCTAAAATTCCATCTAAACAAGCCCAGGGAATTCTGGAAGGGTTTGGGATGGAAAAGAACCTGAAATCTCAAAAAATCCCACCCCAGTTCCATGGGCAGGGACCTTCCCCTATCCCAGGTGGTCCCACCTGGCCTTGGACATTCCTAGGGATGGGGAATCCTTGGAATAACTTGGAATAACCTGGGCCAGGGAAGGATTGATCCCTAAAATCCAATCTAAACCGGCCCAGGGAATTCTAGAATGGTTTGGGATGGAAAGGAGCCTGAAATCCCCAAAAATCCCACCCCAGTTCCATGGGGACCTTCCCCGATCCCAGGTGGTTCCAGGGATGGAGAATCCATGGGATAACCTGGGCCAGGGAAGGATTGATCCCTAAAATTCCATCTAAACCGGCCCAGGGAATTCTGGAATGGTTTGGGATGGAAAGGAACCTTAAATCCCCAAAAAATCCCACCACAATTCCATAAGCACTCCCAGGACGTGCCTGGAGCCTCAGGAGAAGCATTTTGGGGAAAATCCAGCAGAAAAGGGGTTCAGCACCACCAGGATGTTCCTGGAGTCTCAGGAGAAGCATTTTTGGGGCAAACCCAGCAGGAAAAGAGGTTCAGCACCACCAGGATGAGCCTGCAGCCTCAGGAAAAGCATTTTTTGGGAAAATCCGGCAGGAAAAGGGGTTCAGCATTGCCAGTACGTGCCTAGAACCTTGTTGCCTCATCCTGGGAATGTCACCAAATCCCAGGAAAGCGCTCCCGAGCCCAGGGACGTTTTCCAAGGCGGATTCCCGAGGCCCCGGCCCCTGGGGTGGCGATTCCAGACAGTTACAGGCCACCAAACCCCCCGTCATTTGCATAATCACCCCAAAAATCCACCCCAAAATTACAGCGTCCCAAGGGTGTCATTACCGCCCAGGCGGGGCCTAATTTGCACCAGGGTAATTTAATCTGTGTTCAAAAAAAAAAAAAAAAATCCCAAAAATGAACGTCGGGGACAAATCCCTGGGCTGAGTGTCCCCGAGGTTATTAATTAGCCAGCGTTAATTAATTGGGCTCCTACACCCAGGGTGAGCCACGGGCGAGGCTGCGGGACGAGTTCCTGCTCTGAGGTGGCCCCCGTGATGTCCCCGTCACCCCGTCCCCCCCCCAAACCCCAAATCCAGGCTCTGGAATTTTCCGGATTCCCTCTAGGAGTTCCTGGGGAATAAATGAAGAGTTAATTAATTTGCCGTTCGAAAGATTAAATTAAAAAATAAGGGTATTGTGAGGTAATTACGGCCCGAGGGCAGCCGGAGGAAATTCAGCATTAATCGACCTCTCAGCAGAGGTTTCTGCTTTTATTTTTAATTAATCGACCTCTCAGCAGAAGTTTTTCTGCTTTTATTTTTTAATTAAAATCCAGCCAAGTTGAAATTAAAATGGTCCGATTAATACTAGGAGTTTTATCATGATTTTTCTCAATGAGAGGTCATCAATTGATTACGATTTCCTTGTTCAAAAATCCGTTTAAAAATTCATTTAATCGTTTAAAAATGGCTGTGGTTGGTTTATTTTTAATATTGGGTAATATGGCCAAATATTAATGAGAAGTAAAAATAAGAATAAAACTCTACGGGGGTGTCTCATGAGCTAAAACCAGGAGGATCTGGGGAATCTAACCCAGATTTTACGGCTGAAATCTTCTTCCCTTTGCCTGATCCAAACCTCAGCGACCTCGGGTTTGAAATTCCAAAGGAATTGCACAAAAAAGGGACAAAAAATCCCCTCTGGAATTGCGGGATTAATTACGTGGGTCATAAAGATCTTGATTGTCCCCTGATCTGCTCGTCCTGAGCTCTGCTGCCATCAGCACTTAAATTTTCCTTTTAATGAATTTAATTAATTTAATTAATTTAATTTAAATATTAATCCCCATTTTCATGTGGTTTCGCAGGTGTTAAAGACACAAATCCCACCCATAACACAAATATTTACACTGAAATCCGCCCTCCTCCCTTTACGCTCTGGAGCCCTTCCAGATTTCCCCCCCCAAAAAAAATCCGAAACTCGACCATAAAAGGATTTTACAGCCAGGATTTTCCAGGATTAGGCGGAACCGGCCCGAAGAGCCGCTGCTATTTCGGGGTGAAAATGATAGGGAAGGGTTGATAAAGCCAAATAACCCGTTTGGGACTGGGCTTGGCCCAGGATGAATCAGGACAACGTCCACGAAGGGTGGCTCCTCTCCAACCCCAACGGGGACCCTATAAAAGCAGCGCCGTCCTCGCCTGTCTCCGCACGGCTTCCCAGGAATCCCACTCGATCCCGACGGTGACTTGGGTGAGTGGGGCTCCCTGGGAATGCTCCCTTTGCCGGGAATTTTCCCCTTGGTTGGGAATTTTGGTGTTTCTCCAGGATTCACCATGGATGGGAGAGTCGTTCCCGGTGTTTTTTGGGAATATCGAGGGGTTTCTCCCTGTTGGAATCAGCCTTGAGGGAAGGGAATATGGGAGAAGTTTGGGGAGATCTTTGGGTGTGGGGTCAGCTCCCGTCTGGAGCTGTGGCCTCTTCTCCGTGGAAATTCCGGCGTTTCCATGGGGCAGGGAGTGCTCGTGTGCCCGGGCACGTTCCGGAGGCGGGAATGGGGCACGGCGCAGCTCCCCGGGATCAGATCGGGCACAGAGGTTCCCCATAAGAGATTTGGGCATCCCACAAAGGGAGGAAGGAGGGAAGGAGGAGGCTTTGGAGGTTTCCAGACGCAGCTCTTGAGGTCTCTGCCCCAGATCTTGTCTTGGGTTGGGTTAAAGCTGCTCTCGCCAGGATCACAGGGATGGGTCTTGGAAACACCAGGAAGTGCTGGAATGAGGCCATGGAGATGCTCCAAGGGCTGGGGGAAGGTTGGGAGAGCTTCTGGGGAGGAGAAGCTCCATGGCGACCTTAGAGACCTCCCTGGACAGCAGAGGGGTTGGACTGGTTCCATATTTAGTGCCCGTTCCAAGGAAATATTCCATGGGATAACCCCACGGGGCAGGATCTGGGGGCACCTCTTGAGTCAGCACCGCCGGGTCCCTCCCCGTCACCGCGTCCCAGTCACCGTTCCCGCTCCGACGTCACCCAAAGGCGTCAGTGGCGAGGCCAGAGGCCACTCCCCATCCCACTAAAACCCCGGAATGTGTTCCCAACGGAGCCGGGAATTCTCCTCCCTCTTCCCAAGGGGATCCCCCAGCCCTCGGTGTGCTCCTGTCCCTCACAGGCTCGCTCAGATCTGCAGGATGTCCCCGTTCTTGGACAGCATCGCCACCATCGTCGGCGTCTTCCAGCAGCACGCCCGGGGAGATGGGGACGGCTCCGGGCTCAGCCGCAGGAGGATGAGGGAGCTGATCCAGAGGGAATTCGCAGATTCCCTGGTGGTGAGCGCTGGAGTGTGGGAATGGCAAAATCCTCTCTGGAAAGGGAACAGGGAGGGCTCCACCAAAGGTTGGGTTCCACCAAAGGTTGGGTTCCATCAAAGGTTGGGTTCCACCAAAGTTTGGGTTCCACCAAAGGTTGGGTTCCATCAAAGGTTGGCTTCCACCAAAGGTTGGCTTCCACCAAAGGTTGGGTTCCACCAAAGGTTGGGTTCCATCAAAGGGTGGGTTCCACCAAAGGTTGGCTTCCACCAAAGGTTGGGTTCCATCAAAGGGTGGGTTCCACCAAAGGTTGGGTTCTTCTGTGCTGGGAAGGGAATGGAGAACCCTGAGGGAGCTGGGGGGGCTCAGCCTGGAGAAAAGGGGGATCCTGGGAGGGTTTTGGGGAATGAATTCCCACAGTTGGTGCTGAGCCCTACACGTGAAATTATGAGAGACGTAAGGAGAATTCCTGTGATTCTTCCCGTTGTTGCCTGTCTCCCCCAAGGAGCAGGAAGACCAAAATCCCCTTTTTTCCCCGACCCAGGAAGACCAAAATCCCCTTTTTTCCCCGACCCCGTGTTTTTTCCCTGCAGAAGCCACACGATCCTCAGACCATTGAGAAGATCCTGCAGTTCCTGGAGTGGGATGGGGACGGGGACATCGATTTCAACGAGTTCCTCCTCCTGGTGTTCCGTGTGGCCAAGTGCTGCTTCTGGTTCCAGCCGAGGGCCCCGTTCCTGGTGCAGAGGACAAAGCTCCCGACCGGCGGAAAATCCCTGCGGGAGCCGGAATTCAGGAGCAGAGGGAGTCGCCGGCAGCTCCAGGAGGAGGAGGAACGACAAACCTGGGAGAGGAATCGTGAGGCTGAGCTGCAAGGAGACCTCAGGGTCAGGGAGGTGGAAATCTTGGAGGAAACGAGGAGGGATCAGCAGGAAGGTCGCACACGGAGCAGGGAGGAACCACTCCGGGAGCTGATCCCCCGGGAACGCCGGGAACGGAGCCAGGAGCCGTGCGAGCAGCGGGAGAGCCGGAGAAGGCGGCAGCCCCCGGAGCCGGACAGACGAGAGAGGAGAGACCAGGAGGAAGAGGAGGCAGACGTGAGGACAGGCAGGCAACGCCGGGAACCCCAAGCACGGCCAGACCGGTGGAGCCGCCAGGAGCAAGGGCGTGATGAAAGAACCCAGCGGCCACGAGGAGAAGATGGAGAAGGAGACAACCGGCCACGGGAACCCGAATTGCTCCAGGAGGAGAGGAGCCGCCACCGCCGGCGTGAGCTGGGACAAAGGGAGCTGGAAGGGAGAAGGTGCCGGGCGGCTGAGCTGGAATGTCCGGAGTCCAGGAGGCCACACCAGTCGTACCTGGAGGAACCGTTAGAGATCGACCTCGGGGAATGTGGGAGAACAGAGGCAGAGGAACGCGGCTACAGACAGAGAACAAAGCGGGAACAGGAGCTGGAATCGGCGGAAAGGGAAAGGGAGATCCGGGAGGAGCAGGAGAGGAGAGAAAGAGATGATCCCAGAAGAAAAGGGAGAATGAGGGAGAGAAGGGTGGATGAGGAACGGGAGCTGGAGGTGTCTGAGTGCCGGACACGGGAAAGGGAGGAAGAAGTGGCTGCCAGAAACCTGAGAGAGATACAGGAGAGACAAGAGCGTGAAATTCGTGAGATTGAAGATGATGGAAGGAGACAGAGAGAATCAGTGAGGTTTGAAAGGGACAGAGAGATCTCAGTGGCAGCAGCAGAAGCCGATGTCAAAGTGCGCCGTGAGATCCAGGAACGAGGTGAGGAGCTGGGAAGGAGAGAACGTCCCTGTGAGCGTGAGGAGGAAGAGAGGAGAATCTCCCGTGTCAGAGAGAGGGAAGACGCCTTGAGAGAGCAAAGAATTGATCAGCAACGGGAGCTGGAGGTGTCTGAGCGCCAGGCACGGGAAAGGGAGGAAGAAGTGGCCAGAGTTGGCCAGAGAGAGACACGGGACAGACGAGAGCGAGATATCCGTGAGATTGAAGCTGATGGAAGGAGACAAAGAGAAACCCTGAGGTACGAGAGGGACAGAGAGATCTCAGTGGCAGCAGCTGAAGTCGATATCAAAGTGCGCCGTGAGATCCGGGAACGAGGTGAGGAACTGAGAAGGAGAGAACGTCCCTGTGAGGCTGAAGACAGAAGAATTTGCCCCAGAAGAGAAAGAGATGAGATTCGGGCAGAGAGGAGAATCGATGTTGAACGGGAGCTGGAAGTGTCTGAGCTCCGGGCACGGGAAAGGGAGGAAGTGGCTGCCATTGGCCAGAGAGAAACAAGGGACAGACGTGAGCGTGAAATTCATGAGATTGAAGCTGATGGGAGGAGACAGAGAGAATCAGTGAGGTTTGAAAGGGACAGAGAGATCTCAGTGGCAGCAGCTGAAGCCGATGTCAAAGTGCGCCGTGAGATCCAGGAACGAGGGGAGGAGCTGGGAAGGAGAGAACGTCCCTGTGAGCGTGAGGGGGAAGCAGAACCAGAGAGGAGAATTTCCCGTGTCAGAGAGAGGGAAGAGGCCCTGAGGCAGAGGAGAATCAGCCAGGAACAGCAGCTGGAGGTGTCTGAGCGCCGGGCACGGGAAAGGGAGGAAGAAGTGGCCAGAGCTGGCCGGAGAGAGACACGGGAGAGACGTGAAATTGGTGAAATTGGTGAGATTGAAGCAGATGGAAGGAGGCAAAGAGAAACCCTGAGGTACGAGAGGGACAGAGAGATCTCAGTGGCAGCAGCTGAAGCCGACGTCAAAGTGCGCCGAGAGATCCGGGAACGAGGGGAGGAGCTGAGAAGGAGAGAACGTCCCTGTGAGTGTGGAGAAGACAGAAGAATTTGCCCCAGAAGAGGCAGGGAAGAGGCCCTGAGGGAGAGGAGAATCGATCAGGAACGGGAGTTGGAGCTGGAGGTGTCTGAGCGATGGGCACGGGAAAGTGTGAATGAAGAGGCTGCAATTGGCCAGAGAGAGACACGGGAGAGACGAGAGCGAGACATCCGTGAGGCTGAAATCGATGCAAGGAGAGAGCTAGAAGTGTATGACAGGAGAAGAGAGATCTCAGTGGCAGCAGCTGAAGCCGACATCAAAGTGCGCCGAGAGATCCGGGAACGAGGGGAGGAGCTGAGAAGGAGAGAACGTCCCTGTGAGCGGGAGGTGGAAGCAGAACCAGAGAGGAGAATTTCCCGTGTCAGAGAGAGGGAAGAGGCCCTGAGGGAGAGGAGAATCAACCAGGAACGGGAGCTGGAGGTGTCTGAGCGTCGGGCACGGGAAAGGAGTGAAGAAGTGGCTGCCATTGGCCAGAGAGAAAGACACAACAGACGTGAGCGTGAAATTCGTGAGATTGAAGCTGATGGGAGGAGACAGAGAGAATCAGTGAGGTTTGAAAGGGACAGAGGGATCTCAGTGGCAGCAGCTGAAGCCGACGTCAAAGTGCGCCGAGAGATCCGGGAACGAGGGGAGGAGCTGAGAAGGAGAGAACGTCCCTGTGAGCGTGAGGAGGGAGCAGAACCAGAGAGCAGAATTTCCCGTGTCAGAGAGAGGGATGAAACCCTGAGGGAGAGGAGAATCAACCAGGAACAGCAGCTGGAGGTGTCTGAGCGCCGGGCACGGGAAAGGGAGGAAGAAGTGGCCAGAGCTGGCCGGAGAGAGACACGGGAGAGACGTGAAATTGGTGAAATTGGTGAGATTGAAGCAGATGGAAGGAGGCAAAGAGAAACCCTGAGGTACGAGAGGGACAGAGAGATCTCAGTGGCAGCAGCGGAAGCCGACGTCAAAGTGCGCCGTGAGATCCGGGAACGAGGGGAGGAGCTGAGAAGGAGAGAACGTCCCTGTGAGTGTGGAGAAGACAGAAGAATTTGCCCCAGAAGAGGCAGGGAAGAGGCCCTGAGGGAGAGGAGAATCGATCAGGAACGGGAGTTGGAGCTGGAGGTGTCTGAGCGCCGGGCACGGGAAAGTGTGAATGAAGAGGCTGCAATTGGCCAGAGAGAGACACGGGAGAGACGAGAGCGAGACATCCGTGAGGCTGAAATCGATGCAAGGAGAGAGCTAGAAGTGTATGACAGGAGAAGAGAGATCTCAGTGGCAGCAGCTGAAGCCGACGTCAAAGTGCGCCGAGAGATCCGGGAACGAGGGGAGGAGCTGAGAAGGAGAGAACGTCCCTGTGAGCGTGAGGTGGAAGCAGAACCAGAGAGGAGAATTTCCCGTGTCAGAGAGAGGGAAGAGGCCCTGAGGGAGAGGAGAATCAACCAGGAACGGGAGCTGGAGGTGTCTGAGCGCCGGGCACGGGGAAGGGAGGAAGAAGTGGCCAGAGTTGGCCAGAGAGAGACACGGGAGAGACGTGAAATTGGTGAAATTTGTGAGATTGAAGCTGATGGAAGGAGACAAAGAGAAACCCTGAGGTACGAGAGGGACAGAGAGATCTCAGTGGCAGCAGCTGAAGCCGACGTCAAAGTGCGCCGTGAGATCCAGGAACGAGGTGAGGAGCTGAGAAGGAGAGAACGTCCCTGTGAGCGTGAGGGGGAAGCAGAACCAGAGAGGAGAATTTCCCGTGTCAGAGAGAGGGATGAAACCCTGAGGGAGAGGAGAATAGACCAGGAACAGCAGCTGGAGGTGTCTGAGCGCCGGGCACGGGAAAGGGAGGAAGAAGTGGCCACAGTCGGCTGGAGAGAGACACGGGACAGACGTGAGCATGAAATTCGTGAGATTGAAGCTGATGGGAGGAGACAGAGAGAATCAGTGAGGTTTGAGAGGGACAGAGAGATCTCAGTGGAAGCAGAAGAAGCCGACGTCAAAGTGCGCCGTGAGATCCAGGAACGAGGGGAGGAGCTGAGAAGGAGAGAACGTCCCTGTGAGGGAGAAGACAGGAGAATTTGCCCCAGAAGAGAGAGAGAGGAGCCCCTGAGGGAGAGGAGAATCGACCAGGAACGGGAACTGGACCTGGAGGGCTCTGAGCGCCGGGCACGGGAAAGGGAGGAGAGACAAGAACGTGAAATTCGTGGACTTGAAGATGATGGAAGGAGACAAAGAGAAGCCCTGAGGTACGAGAGGGACAGAGAGATCTCAGTGGCAGCAGCGGAAGCCGATGTCAAAGTGCGCCGAGAGATCCAGGAACGAGGGGAGGAGCTGAGAAGGAGAGAACGTCCCTGTGAGTGTGAGGGGGAGGCAGAACCAGAGAGGAGAATTTCCCGTGTCAGAGAGAGGGATGAAACTCTGAGGGAGAGGAGAATCAATCAGGAACGGGAGCTGGAGGTGTCTGAGCGCCGGGCACGAGGAAGGGTGGATGAAGAGGCCACATTTGGCCGGAGAGAGACACGGGACAGACGTGAAATTGGTGAGATTCGTGAGCTTGAAGCTGATGCAAGAAGACAAAGAGATTCAGAGAGGTACGAGAGGGACAGAGAGATCTCAGTGGCAGCAGCTGAAGCCGATGTCAAAGTGCGCCGTGAGATCCAGGAACGAGGGGAGGAGCTGAGAAGGAGAGAACGTCCCTGTGAGCGTGAGGGGGAAGCAGAACCAGAGAGGAGAATTTCCCGTGTCAGAGAGAGGGATGAAACCCTGAGGGTGAGGAGAATCAACCAGGAACGAGAGCTGGAGGTCTCTGAGCGCCGCAGCCGCCGGACACAGGACAGTGAGGCAGAAGTGACCATCACTGACCAGAGTGAGGCACGTGAGGAGATCAGGCTGGAGGTCCTGGAGGAGGAAGATGAGGAGGAGCTGGAGCAGGACCAGTACCGATACCAGACCCTGGATGTGGACACCATCGATCTCTGCCCCCCAGGACAGGAGGTGCCCATCAGCGACCTCAGGGTCCGGTACCGCCCCGCCGACCCCGACGTCCGGCCCGAGGTCCGGCTGCTCCCCGAGCCCGCGGAGCCTCAGACCGTGGCCTACCTGGTGCACGTCATCCAGAACCAGCAGGACCCCAAAGCCGCCACCTACCAGATCGTGTGCCACCAGCCCGGCCAGCGCGGCCAGCCCGTGCGCGTCCGCACCCGCTCCGTGTCCCCGCGGCCACCGAGCGACCACAGAGACCGCCCCGAGGTGCCACCATCCAAACGCCCCCAGGAAAACCCCGGTGAGGGCCTGGATGAGCCCAGGGAAAGATCCGGAAAGGAGGTGAAGGACGGAGCCCTGGAGGATTCTGGAGCCCTGAGGGATTCTGGAACCCTGAGAGATTCTGGAGCCCTGAAGGATTCTGGAGCCCTGCGGGATTCTGGAGCCCTGAAGGATTCCAGAGCCCCGAGGGCTTCTGGAGCCCTGGAGGATTCTGGAGCCCTGAGGGATTCTGGAGCCCTCCGGGATTCCAGAGCCCTGAGAGATTCCGCCGATCCAGAGGCCGTGAAGGGCGAGCGGGTGAAATCCAAGGAGCTCCGGAGGCGCCCCGAGGTCCCCGAGGCGGAGCAGGAGCAGCCCCAGGGTGAGGAGCCCCAGAAGGTCCCGCGGGAGCGCAGAGAGCGCCAGGCCGGCGAGGCCAAGAGCGGAATCCCGCCGGAGCGCCGGGATCCGGGGCGGAGAGACCCCGGAGAGACCCTCAGGGAGGGAACCCAGGAGGGCGAGGAGGCTCCCGAGGAGGAACCCAGCAAGAGGAGCCCCCGGGAAGCCGAAAATTCCCGGGTTTCTCGGGATGGGGGCACCAAGCAGGGCCAGGAGCCCCCGCAGGAGGCCCCGAGCCGCGCCAGGGATGAATCCAAAACATCCTGAGGGGAATCTGCCTCTCCCTGGGGCCTCTCCAGGTCCTTTTGAGGGTCACTCCTGCCCCTCGGGATGTGGTGGCCCAGCAGTGATGGACTCAAAAGGATCCCGGGGTGTCCAGGGGGGTTTGGGAGCTTTTCCCTGGAATGGATCCCCAGCAGGAAGGGAGATCCTCCCAAATCCGGAGTTTCTGCCTCCCTGCTGGGTGTGTCCCTCAATATTTAATCACTTTTTCTGCTCTGATTGGAGTCCTTGGGCGCCTCTGTCCTGTTTTGCACCCTGGGGTGTCGCTTCAGGTTCCCCCAGCCCCGGGGCTGCTCTCAGCTTCTAATTTTTTAAACTCCAAAAAAAAAATTCCTGATTTTGGGGCCTGGAAATCCTCAAGGCTGGGGGAAAAAACAAAAAACAAAAAAAAAAATCACATTTTTAGGTGGATTCCAGCAGAATTCCAGCTCCAGGCCCGGGGGTTTGGAGCCACAGGGTGCTGGTGGTGGGTGGGGGATTCTCCTTCTCCTTCTCCTCCTTTTCCTTTTCCTTCCTTTTTATCGCATGGAAAATGGGAATAAACTGCTGATTCCTGCAGAGGCTGCGAGCGTCACCTTCCGGAGGGCTGGGAGGGCTGGGATCGGGCATTCCCAGTTGGGATTGGGCATTCCCAGTTTGGGATCAGACATTCCCAGTTGGGATCAGGCATTCCCAGTTGGGATCAGGTATTCCTAGTTTGGATTGGGCATTCCCAGTTTGGATTGGGCACTCCCAGTTTGGGTCAGGCATTCCCAGTTCAGGTCAGGTATTCCCAGTTTGGATTGGGCATTCCCAGTTTGGATTGGGCACTCCCAGTTTGGGTCAGGCATTCCCAGTTCAGGTCAGGTATTCCCAGTTTGGATTGGGCATTCCCAGTTTGGATTGGGCACTCCCAGTTTGGGTCAGGCATTCCCAGTTCAGGTCAGGTATTCCCAGTTTGGATTGGGCATTCCCAGTTCGGGTCAGGCATTCCCAGTTTGGGTCAGGCATTCCCAGTTCGGGTCAGGTATTCCCAGTTTGGATTGGGCATTCCCAGTTTGGATTGGGCATTCCCAGTTTGGGTCAGGCATTCCCAGTTTGGGCCAGGCATTCCCAGTTCAGCCCCCAAACTCCTCCTGATCCCAAATCCCACCCAATCCCCATTTCCCACTCCCACATCCTGCTCCAGAGCCAGGGGCTCTCCCAAGGCTCCGTCCCCGCACTGTCCCCAAGTGATGGGGACAGGGACAGTGCCAGGGCAAGGGACAGTGACACTGGGAGGGCTCAGTGGCAATGCCAGGGCCAGTGACACAGCTGCCAGCGCTTGGTGGCAATGCCAGGGACAGGGACAGGGACAGTGACACTGGCAGGGCTCAGTGATGGGGACAGGGACGGTGACACAGCTCGGTGACAATGCCAGGGACAGGAAGAGGAACAGGAAGGGGAACACAGCTCTGTGACACTGGCAGGGCTCAGTGATGGGGACAGGGACAGCACTTGGTGACAGTGCCAGTGTTCAGTGACAAGGACAGGGCCAGAGGCAGTGACACAGCTCAGTGACAATGCCAGGGGCAGTGGCACAGCTGCCAGCCCTTGGTGACAATGCCAGGGACAGTGACACTGGCAGGGCTCAGTGATGGGGACAGGGACGGGGACACAGCTCGGTGACAATGCCAGAGACAGTGCCAGGGACAGTGCCAGCCATTGGTGGCAATGCCAGGGACAGGGGCAGTGACACTGGCAGGGCTTGGTGGCAATGCCAGGGACAGTGTCAGCCCTTGGTGACAATGCCAAGGACAGTGACACTGGCAGGGCTCAGTGATGGGGACAGGGACAGTGACACAGCTCGGTGACAATGCCAGGGGCAGTGACACAGCTTGGTGACAATGCCAGGGACAGGGACAGTGACACTGGCAGGGCTCAGTGATGGGGACAGGGACGGGGACACAGCTCGGTGACAATGCCAGGGGCAGTGACACAGCTCGGTGACAATGCCAGGGACAGGGACAGTGACACTGGCAGGGCTCAGTGATGGGGACAGGGATGGGGACACAGCTCGGTGACAATGCCAGGGGCAGTGACACAGCTCGGTGACAATGCCAGGGGCAGTGACAGTGACACTGGCAGGGCTCAGTGATGGGGACAGGGACAGCACTTGGTGACAGTGCCAGTGTTCAGTGACAAGGACAGGGCCAGGGGCAGTGACACAGCTCAGTGACAATGCCAGGGGCAGTGGCACAGCTGCCAGCCCTTGGTGACAATGCCAGGGACAGTGACACTGGCAGGGCTCAGTGATGGGGACAGGGACGGGGACACAGCTCGGTGACAATGCCAGGGACAGGGACAGTGACACTGGCAGGGCTCAGTGATGGGGACAGGGACGGGGACACAGCTCGGTGACAATGCCAGGGGCAGTGACACAGCTCGGTGACAATGCCAGGGGCAGTGGCACAGCTGCCAGCCCTTGGTGACAATGCCAGGGACAGTGACACTGGCAGGGCTCAGTGATGGGGACAGGGACGGGGACACAGCTCGGTGACAATGCCAGGGGCAGTGACACAGCTCGGTGACAATGCCAGGGACAGTGGCACAGCTGCCAGCCCTTGGTGACAATGCCAGGGACAGTGACACTGGCAGGGCTCAGTGATGGGGACAGGGACGGGGACACAGCTCGGTGACAATGCCAGGGGCAGTGACACAGCTCGGTGACAATGCCAGGGGCAGTGACACCGCTGCCAGTGCCCTGACGGCTCCAGGGACATCCCAAGGAGCAAACGGGGCCGGGGCGGGACTCGGGGATGCCCGCAGAGCCCCGGGCCGGGCCGGGCACATTCCGGGGCCGCGGGAGGAGCCGCTGGAACGGGAATTGCCCAACGCGTCCGGCGCTGACTCAGCCCGGGCGGGGCTCCCCGACTTTCCCCGGGGTTTCTTTTTCCCGATCCCACGAACTCCGAAGCGGAGCGGAGCCGCCGCCTGTCCCAGCCATGGTGAGGAATTCCCGGGAATTCGAGGGGGAATATGGATCAGGAGAGGGGGGGGGAATGGAGATTTTCCGGGAAAACGGCCCAAAATCGGAGTGGGAGGGGGTAGGGCGTGGTCTGGCAAAGGGAGGAAGGAAGAGGGGGGAGAAAGGGAAAAATGGGGGGAAAAATGGGGAAAACAGGGGGGGAAACAGGGAAAAAACGGGTGGGAAGTGGGGGGGAAAATCAGGGAAGAAACTGGGAGGAAAATGGGGAAAAAACAGGGGAAAATAGGAAAAAATGGGGGGAAACAGGGAAAAAATGGAGAAAAATAATGGGTGAAAAAGAGGGGAAGTGAGTGAAAAACAAAGAAAACCCAGGGTGGGGAGAAACAGAAAAATGGGGCGAAACAGGGGAAAAGGGGAAAAACAGTGGGGGGAAACAGGTAAAAAACGAGTAGAAAATGGCAGAAAAACCAGGGCAGAAACCGGAAAGAAAATGAGAAAAATCAGAGAAAAACATAAAAAAAAACGGGGAAAATAGGGGGAAAAAATGGAGAAAAACGGGGAAAATGGGTGAAAAACAGGGGAAATGGGTGAAAAGCAGAAAAACCCCGAGGTGGGGTGGGGAGAAATGGGGGGAAAGGGGAAAGAGCGGATCCAGGCCGGCCCTTCCCACGGATCCGCCACCTCCCCAGGGCATTTTCCAGGAGCCGCTCCCGATCCGGGCCCGTCCCGCTGTGCCAGGAACGAAATCCAGGGAAAAATGCGGCGGGACGGGTCCGGGCGAGCCCTGAAAAAACCGGGATTGCCCTTGGAAAAGCTGGAGTGGGCACGGGAAGGGATTCCCTGCTCCCTAAAATATTGGGGATTGCTCCTTGGCGCGCCTGGGATGGGCACAGGAGGATCCTCGTCCCCAAAAAATTGGGATTGCTCCTGGAATGGGCAGAGAAAGTTCCTTCTGCCCTTCCCTCGTGCCCAAAAAAAACCCGGGATTTCTCCCTGGAAAGCCTGAAATGGGCACAGGAGGCTTCTCCAGCCCTTCCTAAAAAATTTGGGATTGCTCCTTGGCACACCTGGAATGGGCACAGGAGGCTCTTCCAGCCCTTCCCTCATCCCCCCAAAAAATCGAGATTTCTCTCTGGAAAATCTGAAATGAGCTCAGGAGGCTCCTCCAGCCCTTCCTAAAAATTTGGGATTGCTCCTTGGCACACCTGGAATGGGCACAGGAGGCTCCTCCAGCCCTTCCCTCATCCCCAAAAACCGCGATTGCTCCTGGAATGGGCAGAAGGTTCCCAAAAAACCCAGGATTGCTCCCAGCACACCTGGGTCGGGCCCAGGGTGTTCCCCAGCCTTCCCCTGACCCCAAATCCCGGGATTTCGGCCCCCCCAGCCCACGGAGACGGAGCGCTGCATCGAGTCGCTGCTGGCCGTGTTCCAGCGCTACGCCGGGCGCGAGGGCGACGCCTGCACGCTCTCCAAGCGGGAATTCCGCGCCTTCATGGACACCGAGCTGGCCGCCTTCACCAAGGTGCGGGAACGGGGGGCCTGGGGTGGGATCCATGGGATGGGATCCATGGGATGGGAGAGGATCGATGGGATCCATGGGATGGGATCCATGGGATGGGAGAGGATCAATGGGATCCATGGAATAGGGTGGGGATGGGATCAATGGGATCAATGTGATCCATGGGATCCATGGGATGGGTTGGGGGGGGGGGGGGATCCGTGGGAGCCATGGGACTGGGATGGGATCCATGGGATGGGATCCATGGGACTGGGATGGGATCCATGGGATTGGGATGGGATTGATGGGATGGGATCCATGGGAACCATGGGATCCCTGGGATCGGGATGGGATCCATGGGATGGGAGAGGATCAATGGGATCCATGGGATAGGGTGGGGATGGGATCAATGCGATCCATGGGATGAGATGAGATGGGATCCATGGGATCAATGCGATCCATGGGATCCATGGGATGGGGTGGGGATGGGATCAATGGGATCCATGGAATGGCATTGATGGGATCCATGGGAGCCATGGGATCCATAGGATTGGGATGGGATAGGATCCAATGGGATCAATGCGATCCATGGGATTGGGATGGGATTGATGGGATGGGATCCATGGGCTGGGATAGGATCAATGGGACCTATGGAATGGGATGGGATTGATGGGATGGGATCAGTGGGATTGGGATGGGATCAGTGGGTTGGGATGGGATCAATGAGATGGGATCCATGGGAACAATGGGGTCAATCATTTGGGATGGGGTCAATGGGCTGGGATGTGCCGGGATGGGATTGATGGGATGGGATTGATGGGATGGGATCGATGGGATGGGATCCATGGGAACAATGGGGTCAGTCATTTGGGATGGGGTCAATGGGCTGGGATGTGCCGGGATGGGATTGACGGGATGGGATCGATGGGATGGGATCAATGGGATGGGATGATGGAGGGGGTCCCAGCCCTGGGGCTGTACCAGGATGGAATCTGGAGCAGGATGGGACTGTAGGAACATCCCTGAACGTGACTATTCAAGGATTCTCCATCCCAAACCATTCCAGGATTCCCTGAGCTGCCCTCCCTGCCTGGGCAGGAAATTCCCCCGCCCTCATTCCAGGCACCAATTCCCTTTTTTCTTTTTTCCCTTTCCCAGAACCAGAAGGACCCGGGCGTGGTGGACAGGATGATGAAGAAGCTGGACATGAACAGCGACGGGCAGCTGGACTTCCAGGAGTTCCTGAACCTCATCGGGGGCATCGCCGTGGCCTGCCACGACTCCCTGGTCCTCAAGGCCCCCAAACCCTGAATCCATTCCAGCTCCACCCCGGAATTCCCCATGGAACGCTGGAAATGATGGAATGCTCGCGTTCCCTTTTTTTCACCCTGATTTTTTATGGATAAATAAAAGGTTGAAGACCCCAAAGGATTCTGGGATGTGTGAAGAGGGCGGGGGGGAAGAATCCCAAAATTATCCTCACCTGCTGTGGATTCCAGGGATTCCCTGCAGGGATGAGGATCTGACCCTCCCCGAGCTCCTTACGACGCTTCCCAACCCTTTTTCCATGGAAAAACCATCCCAAATTTCCAGCCCTGGCACAGCTCGAGGCCGTTCCCTCTTGTCCTGTCCCCGTTCCCTGGGATCAGATCCCAAATTTCCCCTGGGTCCCCCTTTTCTCTGGGATCAGATCCCAAATTCCCCCCGATGCCCCTTTTCTCTGGGATCAGATCCCAAATTCCCCCCGGATCATAAATTCCCCCTGGATCCCAAATCCCCCCTGGATCTCCCTTTTCTCCAGGCTGAGCTCCCTCAGGATTCTCCATTCCCTTTTCCAGCCCCATTCCCTGGACACTTCCAGCCCCTCATTCCACACCCTGGACATTCCCAGCAGGACAATCCCTGGAATTCCATCCCTGGATTGTTATTCCCATCCCTCTCCCCCTGCAGGGATCAGAATCCACCCAAATCTGGGAATCCCGGAGCCTTTTCCCTGCCCTGGGGTCAAAACTCCACCTGGAAAAGCGGGACAGGCCCTCAGGGTTAATTGGGGCGTTAATTACACCCCGTTAATTAACACACCCAGCTCTGGAGTGCCGATCCCATCCTCTGGAACATTCCCAGCTCTCCAAGCAGAGGTGGGAAAAGGGATAAAATTCCCTTTTTAAATTAATTTTTTTTTTTTCTTGGCGTGTCCTGAGCTGCAAACCAGGAAAATCCAGGTGATTAACGAACTTTATTAACAACGGGAGCTCATTAGGTTGCCATGGCGACAACAGGAGGAGTCAACAAACACGGGGCCACTTCCAGAGGGAGCGGGATTTCCCTGGATTCGGGATTTACAGAGCAAATTCCAGGTTTTTGAGCAGTTTTTTAGGGTTTTAAGGGGAGCAGAGGTGGTTGTGTCACTACCAGGATTTGGGAAAAACCCCCCCCTTTTCCCCCCTCTGGAAAAAAATTTGGGATAAAAGCACAGGAAAACCGCTCTGGGAACAAGGGAAAAATAAATTCCTGCTTAATGTGGGGGGAAAAAATCCCAATCTGGCATTGCAGAGTGGGGAAAAACCGGGAAGGGAGGATGGGAATGGCCAGGGGGAGTGAGTGGGGGGAAAGCCGGGATGGGGGAGAGGGAATTTCCTGATCCAGGAGAATTCCTAGCGGAACTGGAGGGGGCTGATGCGCAGCCCCAGCACGTCCTTCCCGATCTCCGTCACCTGCAGGGACAAAGAGAGGGTTTAGGGGTGAAAATTCAGGATTTAGGGGTGAAAATTCGGGATTTAGGGGTGAAAACTCAGGATTTAGGGGTGAAAATTCGGGATTTAGGGGTGAAAATTCGGGATTTAGGGGTGAACTATAAGGATTTAGGGGTTGGGTTTGTGGCTGTCACTCTTGGGCCTGTGCTGGGAGCTCTGGGAGTGGTTTGGGAATGTCCTGAGAGCCCACTGGGGGATTTAGGTGGGAATTTGAGGAAATTGTGTGGAAATTTGAGGAGATATTTAAGATATTTCCACAGATATTTAAGTTATTTCCACAGATGGCCAAGGTTTCCCTTCAGCCTCCTCCAGACCAACCAGGCCCAACTCCCACAGGCCTCCCTTGAGGGAAAAACACTTCAGAGTTCAAATTCCCCCTCAGAGGAGAGGCTTTTGGGACTATTTAAGATATTTCTGTAAATATTTGAGATATTTCCATGAATATTTGAAATACTTCCAGAGATGAGTAAGATTCCCCCTCAAGCCTCCTCCAGACCAACCAGACCCAACACTCACAGGCCTTCCTTGTGGAAAAAACACTTCAGAGCCCAAATTCCCTCTCAGATGAGAGATTTTTGGGACTATTTAAGATATTTCCACAAATATTTGTGGTATTTCCATGGATATTGAAGATATTTCCATAGATGAGTAAAATTCCCCCTCAGCCTCCTCCTGACCAACCAGGCCCAACTCCCACAGGCCTCCCTTACTCCAGAGCTCAAATCCTCCCTCAGAGGGCAGATTTTTGGGGATTTCAGAGATATTTCCACAATTATTTGTGATATTTCCATGGATATTGGAGATATTTCCGTGGATTAATAAGTTTCCCCCTCAGCCTCCTCCAGACCAACCAGGCCCAACTCCCACAGGCCTCCCTTGCGGGATAGACCCCAAACCCCCTCCGGAACCACAAAATGTCGCCCCTGAGCGCAGCGCTGACCCCTCGAACCACCTCCAAACCCCGACCTTTCCCAGCCCACAGCTCGGCGGGATGTCCCTCTGTCCCCTCACCGTGGTGACGCGGCAGATCTGTCCCCGGAACTCGGGGCTGTAGCAGGCCCCGCTGAGGGGACACTTCTCCACGGCCTTGCCGCGGTAGATGGGGCGGTAGGAGGCGGCGCAGATGTCGAAGGGGTTGTGCTGGTCGTAGTTGAGCTGGTGGCTGTCGATGGGGTTCTTCTCGCACGCCGCCAGGATCTTCCGCGTCTGGGAACGGCAGCGCCGTGAGCACGGGGACAGGGACACCCCAGAATGGGTCATGGCAGGGGTTTGGGGACAGGGACACCCCAAAACGGGTCATGGCAGGGGTTTCGGGACAGGGACACCACAAAATGGGTCATGGCAGGGGTTTGGGGACAGGGACACCCCAAAACGGGTCATGGCAGGGGTTTGGGGACAGGGACACCACAAAATGGGTCGCAGTGGGAGTTTGGACACAGGGATACCCCAAAAATGGTTTCACAGGAAGGGTTCCACACCTCAGGGCCTCAGCTCGGGTTTGGAGACAAGGGCCCCCCACAAATGGTGTCACAGTGGGAGTTTGGACACAGGGATACCCCAAAAATGGTTTCACAGGAAGGGCTCCACACCTGAGGGCCTCAGCTCAAGTTTGGGGACAAGGACACCCCAAAAACAGCGTCACAAGGGGGCTTTGGGGATAAGAACAACCCAAAAATGGTGTTTCCCAACTTGAGGGCCTCATCTGAGGACCTCACCTCGAGTTTGGGGACAGGGCCATTGGGGACAGGGCCATTTGGGGTCTCACCTGCTGGGTTTGGGGACAGGGCCATTTGGGGACAGGGCCATTGGGGACAATGCCTTTGGGGACAATGGCCTTTGGGGTCTCACCTGCTGCGCCACCTCGGGCTTGGGGCCGAGCTCGAGCAGGCGCCGGGCGAAGGTGGCGGCGCTTTTGAAGTTCTTGAGCTTGAAGAAGAGGTTGAGGGCGGTGCGGAGCACCAGGATCATGTGCACGGGCTGCAGGTTGGAGTGCGTGAAGTAGGCGGCCATCTGCCAGGGAAAGCAAGGGTTAAAATCCTTGGGAATAACGGGAATTATGACAAGGAATCCCTCTTTTCCCTGTTGTGTTTGTGTTGAAGGCAGAATTCCAAATTTCCAGTAAGGTTTTTAGCACCTCAGGAATCTCACATTTTCCCCTTGGGAATTCCATGTTTTTCCCCTGAGAAAATCCCATATTTTCTCTTCATGAATTCAGTGTTTTCCCCTCAGAAATTCCCATATTTTTCCCTCATGAATTCTGTGTTTTCCCCTCAGTAATTCCCTCATTTCCTCCCTCAGGAATCCCACATTTCCCCTTCATGAATTCTGTGTTTTCTTCTCAGTAACTCCTTTATTTCCCCCCTCAGGAATTCCTTGTTTTCCCCCTCAGAAATTTCCTCATTTCCACCTCAGGAACTCCCACATTTTCCCCCTCAGGAATTCCCACGTTTCCCCCTCACTAATTCCTACATTTCCTCCCTCAGGAATTCTGTGTTTTCCCCCTCAGAAATCCCACATTTTCCCCTCAGGAATCCCCTCATTTCCCCTCAGTAATTCCACGTTTTCCCCTCAGGAATTCCTTGTTTTTCCCCTCAGGCCTCCCTCACCTCACAGATCCTCTTCTGCTGCTCCAGCGTCTCCTTGGGCAGTTTCTTCCTCTCGATCTCCATGGACAACCCCACGATGTATTCCCGGCAAATGGCGACCAGCTGCTGCGCCTTTGGGACAAAAGTGGGGATCAAACCCTTCCCTGGGGACACCCCAGGATCGGGATGGGGAATCTCACATTTACCCCCTCAGGAATTCCTACATTTCCCCCTCAGCCATCCTACAACTTCCCCCTCAGAAATCCCACATATTCCCCCTCAGGACTTCCACAATTTCCCACTCAGGAATCCCATGTTTTTCAGCGCAGGATTCCCACGTTTCCCTCAGAAATTCCCACGTTTTCCCCTCATGAATTTCAAGTTTTTTCCTCTCACGAATTCTCACGTTTTCCCCCTCAGAAATCCCACATTTCCCCCCTCAGGAATTCCATGTTTATCAGGGCAGGCTTCCCACATTTCCCCCCTCACAAATTCCATGTTTTCCCCCTTCAAGAATTTCCACATTTCCCCCCTCACGAATCCCCACATTTTCAGGGCAGGATCCCCACGTTTCCCCCTCAGCAAACCCACATTTCCCCCTCAGGAATTTCTACATTGACCCCTCAGGAATTTGCATATTTCCCCCTCAGAAATTCCCACCTTTTCCCCTCAGAAGTCCCACGCTCCCCCCACGTGAATCCCACATTTCCCCCTCATAAATGCCCGCATTTCCCCCTCAAGAATTCCACGCTTTCCCCCTCAGGAATCCCCACATTTCCTCCTCAGGAATTCCATGTTTTCCATAGCAGAATTCCCACATTTCCCCCTCACGAATCCCCCTGGCCCTGACCTCAGCAATCTCCTGCTTGTTGTCCACCACCAGCAGGGGCACACTGAGCAGGATCAGCCGGAATTTCTCCACGGCCTCCTCGAACTTGCCGGCCGTGGTGAGCTGGTAGCAGAGCTGCAGCCG